ATGCAGTAAAATTAACCCCTTATACACATACACACACAAACACAAACATGCTTAGAAGGAAAGGGTGGACAATTTTACGGTGTGTACGGGATATGCCGTTTCGCAATAGGTGCAATATTATTATATGTATATGATATTATAATCGCTGTCTCCTCTCCGCCCCCGCTACCACTGGTTAATACCCATAGTTGTACCTGTAATAATAATATATAGTATACGCTGTCGGCTTAAATGCACGTGCACCGGACGGTGCAGTCGTAGAGGAGTAGGACGTGCATTGCACATGATATCACAATATGAAATATATATGTATATTGTATTATGCGCGTTGCTCTGTATATTACTGCCATGACCGTCGGTGAAGGCGGCGTGTGGTGCGGTCAGGAAGTGCACCAACGTTCTGCGTGATAATAACGCGTTGATTTAAACGTGCGAGCCGATAAGACAATATAATAATAATATGACCGGAAGTGCATTCGGCGGTGGGGTGGTCGGCTTTACATGCAGCCGCGGCCTTGTTCCACAAAGGCCGGTTTTGTGCGTTGTATACGTGTGACCATATATAGCATACATAGCTACAATATAATGCTCCTGCTGTCGGCGGCCGTATATATATATAATAACACCGATAATTTACGACCTCCTTTCGCGTTTTGTTTTCTCGCGTATCGTACAATATATTATATGTATACATTATATTGTACACGTACTTTCGAATGCCGTATATACGCGTTGTACATTTTATTTTTTATTTTTTAGTCTGCTCGTTTGAAAAAAAAAACCGTCGACCGTCCGTGTGATTTATCGTTGTCTCGGGGCGACCGGAAAGCTCGCGTTGCATTCTACGTGAATTCATATAAAATGCATGTGCGCGTTGGGCACTAAAAAAAACGTGCGATATCTGTCAAACGGAAAATCTCTTTATACAAAATGTATGTGTTGTATTATATATTTTTTATCATATCGACAAGCCTATACGACGCCGTTCAGCGGACATGCTCTTTTCGACCGGATTACTTTAAAATGAACGCGTTGTGTGTGTGTGTGTCTCTCTCTCTCTTTATCTCTCTCTCTCTCTCTATGTAACTGTATTCGCGTCTCTCTCGGAACCAACGATAATCATGATTACAACCACAAGAGACGTCCAAGTGGTCGATCCCGGCTGCGAAAAGCGGTACTGCCGAGAGTTTATACGGTGCAGGCTTATCGATCGCTCCAACCACGGAATTCCACCCCGACGACGTTTTAAGCGTGAAAATTGACTCAGCCGACCGACGGGCCCATTGCCGCATCTCAAAAACCGGAAACCTCTATATTGCTTAGCTCTTAGCTCACGCGGGGACCCTTAACGGCCGCCGAGCGCGATCGAGTTAACGGCACTCGTGTAACGGTCATTTAAACCCACATACGATCGGCATTTAGAGTCGGATAAACGGTGCTCTCGCTTTGACCATTACGACCGTCTCTCTAATCGAAAGAAAACATCAGCGGCAATATTGCTGGTCGTTTCGCCACTCCTGTACAAGCAGAGCTCCCTGCAGGTCGGGCAGCAAACCATAATAGGCGCTTAAAGCTTGTAATGTTACTTTATATATACATTTACTATACGACTGGAGTGTAATAATAGCCGATAACCACCTACCGTCCTCCATCGATAAAGACCAATGTGCGAATAGAGTTTTCCCTGACTTGTTGCGCTTGTCTGTGCAGTTGTGACAACCGGTATCAGTACGCTCCCTTAAAAAGATGGTACTCATATTTCATCGATATGATACTACCATATAAAAATATTATGATATATTCTTTTCCATGACATCGACTGGTGATCGAGTTATGAGGATCTTACACAGTGGATACGTCTGATGAGGGAAACTTGTGTTGTGGGTGGTGGAGTGGTGTGGATTTCCAACAAACATCTCCTGTCGATTTTCTATAATTGTTTGTTTTCCACGCTAGTACAATATAACATAATAATATAATATCACAACCACCGTCGATATAATCTCACCTCGGCGATCTGGCGGTGACCTACATATGATATAATAATAATAATAATAATAATATGACATTATCAGCTATACGAAGCCGCGGTGCCAAGAGCTTGGTACTCGGTCCGCGTCGTTTTCTTAGCGGCCGATTCAAATCGCACCGGCTCTTGGCCCGATTCCAACAGCCACCACCGACACTGCGCCCAGTGCTTTCGTTTGTTTCGACCCACAAAAAGTCAGGCGGTAGACGTTTGAAATAATATTATTACAATATAATAACATCTCCGTATATAATACTATAACGAATACTGCGCTCGGTATTTCAAATCCCATCCCACGCCCCTCTAGCACGGGGTAGTGGTTTTTCTCGATCGGCGCGTGCGTGTTTTCTCAGTTGTTTATTGGTGGATACGCATATTATATTTATACATATACCTATGTAATATTAATATAAATACGCATCATGTATGTGTATAATATATATACATAAATATTATCCATAGTGCACGCGCGCCCGTTAACGTCTCTTGCCAATCGTGTGTAACAACCAGATAATAAATTCTTCGTTGGTTTACGACCGCCGCTTGCACTGCGTCCTCTTTGTTTAGTAACGTTATATATATACACACACACCCACACACCTACCCATACATATATATTATACATTATATAAAGAATATATAATATAAATTCACGGGTTACACTTGCCGATCACGTAAATCCACTTACTCCTATTGCCGCCGACGTCGCGTTCGCGTTCACACGACGACTCGTACAATCGCCTCCACCCCCCCTCGCGCCCTACACGCGCATCGTACTAAACCAACCCTCTCCGTCCCGTCATGATGATGACGCGTGTACTCTACTCTCCCCGTCGTCGCCATGACATTGCTGCGCCTGTACGCGCGTGTATAGTTCAATATTATCGTTTCCGTTTATTACCACAAACAAGGTCGCTAGCTGCCAAAGCGCGTTTCTTACAGGTTACACGCAGATACGCATACATCATATATTATTATTATTATGCCGCTGTACGTGCTATTCGGCTTTCGAGCCAATGCGCATACACAATAACTATCCTTAATAAAATAGCTCAAATAATTATTTGTCTCTAAGTCTTAACTACCTATCGTAAAAATATTGATTGGCCCGCAGCTGGAATCGTAGCTCTCGATTGACGCTCTTATTTTTAAAAGAAAAATTATTATTTATTCAACACGGCAGTCGAGATAGGCAATTCAGGTACGCGAGTGCACCCGAGACCGCAAGATCGCATGTCGTCGTTGCGTTTACTGACATTGTTTTTTTATTTTTTTATTCTCTTTTTTATTTCCTATTTTAATTTTACCAGTCAAACAAAAATGTCTGTTTTAAACTTTGATAAAAAAAAGCCATTGTTTCACAAAACAAAAGAGGTTTAAAAGTTGTTGCTGAGAATGCGAATAACCTCTTTCAGAATTTTAATATGACCTTCCGCACACGAGCGTTTAATACTTTGGTAACTAAATTTCGTCTCGTTCTCTGCGCAAGCGAAAAAATGCTTTCTTTCAACACCCGAATTCCACAAAAGCTTTTTGACCATATACGTTATCGAAGTATTTTTTTCATGTGTTGCGTTTTCCAGCAAAGGAATCACCGATCGAGACACATGATTGAATTTATTTGATATCGAAAAATCTAAACTTAATACTTAGCTACCTGCAGATAATTTATGCGTAAACGATTTTGAGTTAAATCACCGTCTATGAGAATCAATTATAAATTGGCGAAAAGACTATGTAGTAAGTTATCGGTGTGTTAAGAGAGTTCGGGCTGCGGATCGACGACAGCAATAATAGTTATTATTACGGGAAAACAAATGTAAATAATTTTGACCTTTTTTGCCGTTGTGTAAGTAACAAGTATTTGGTTAAACTTTTGCAGACAGAAATAACTTGTTTGCGTGCGCTTGTATGTATATGTGTGTTTGTATGCTCAGGGAACAAACAGACTCGGAAGTAAACACGCGAGAGGATATCTTATATACCTACCTCTATACCTTTTACGCGGAATAATGCCGACAGCGGCGTGGGAGTGGGGCTGGAACGACGTTGGTGATAGTTTTTGTGCTTGGAGAGAGAGTTTTTTTTTTCAATTAAAACGTAATTTAGCCGTTGACCGGCAATCCGTAAATAAACGGTCGACAAATACACGCGGGCCAAATGTGTTTTCGACCGAACCGATTAGACTCGGTCGTTTCGAGTCTCCGACGGACCGCAAAAGATATATTATGTATTGTTAATTATTATGTGTAGTATATATATTGTGTGAGTGTGTGTGTGTGTGTGTGTGTGTGTGTGTGTGTGTGTGTACGCTTCATAGAAAAAAAGCAAGAGCAAAAATTTTTAAAAGCCAACTTATAGCGTGGGCTAAACTATAAATCATAGTATAGTAATATTAAAATATATAATGTTAGAAAATAATATTCGTGGCGCAGTGTGGCGTGGTTCGTATACTCAACTGCAGAAACGCTCTGAGTGTACGTATCGGCCGGTGTTGCTAGCTCCCGGATGGGTGACCATCCGGGATTCTTAGCAATAAACTATTACCACACATACAAAACGTGGTTGAACCACAATAGTTCCTCCCACCCCCACTACAAACAAAAACAGCTAATAGACATAGTTTCCGGGCTTAACTCAATAAAAAAAAAAAAATAAATAAATAAAAATATTCGTGATCGAAGAGTGCTGGATCATTCTTAAATTTATTTATTTTTCCGTAAATTCAACGTGAAAAATATGTATTTGTTTCTACCTATGGTACAAAAGTTAGCAGACAAGAGGCCTCTGCGGACAAATGGCATGTCTGGTTTGCTAAGATAACGTCCAAAAATAAACATTACCTTTTTTTTTTTATTTCATTTTTCTGTCAAAGTGTTATATTATTATTATTGTTTTCTCTGTAGCAATGCAGCTGCCATGACATATCAACGTTATATTTACCTTGTATGGATATTATTTTTGTTTACAGAACACCATCACATATTTGTCGGTGACCTGAGTCCTGAAATCGAGACGCAAACACTGCGAGAAGCATTCGCACCTTTTGGCGAAATATCGTGAGTATACATCCATACCGTATTTATTATTATTAAATTTATAAATTTTCTATCTCTTTCTTCGATAAGTCGATTTATACAAACCAAATAGTATAATATATATACATTATACATTATATACCTACGTAACTTGATCAATTTTTTTTTATATACGAATAGAAACGTATACGGTCATCCGTTATGCTGTCGCTGTTTGTGTTGAGCGAATAAAAAGTAAAAACCATTGAGCGAATAGACGTTTTACTCTTAACAATCAAACTCGATAACGTCAATTAATATTTACAGATATTTTAAATCGCATAAATTATGAGACAATATAATATTGAGTCACTGTATTCTACAGCTGTTCAAACACTGTTATTTTCAAATCGTGTAAAAACACGGTGAAAATGTCAGGACATTCGGGTTGAACCAACAAACGATTTGTAACTGCATCTAAATCTTCTGTTGATCGCACACAACACTCTTATTTTGTTAATTCCGTCAATGCCCATATCGACAGGACGGGGTAGACGACTGACCGATCCATCCATGGTCGGAGTGACAATAATCAAAAATTTGATTACGTTTTGGTAAATTAAAAGAAGAAATTTGTACAGAATCATTACGACCTTCAGGTTAGGTAATAAAATTGTTATTTTTAAATTAACATATTAACAATTATAACACCCGATCGATACACAGACCGATGTATACGCTTAAATCATGTTACCGACTAAAGTCGAAAAAATTGAGAGTATTTCACAAGTAATATAGGACAGACTTTCGTTAAAAAAAAAAATATATATATATATCAAGCTTATGTTGTAACTAATATTACAGTTCTAAAGACAACGTCACACCCGCAAGTGTTGTCTCTGCCTTACAATTAATGGACAACATAGCATAATATTGACATTTAGCATTCCGATTTTATGCTGTAAGTTTAAACGTTGAAGTGACTTTATCTTTCTGCGACTTAAGGGCAAAAACATTATCTGATTTCTACCATCTGTTTAAAGAGAGGACTTGAAAAACGTACTTACCTTTAAGTTTGATAACAGGTCAATTCACATTAGTATTTGAGTTAACTAAATTGAAATAAAGACGTCCTCTCAACCACGAATAATTTCATGATTTCGACGATTAATATTTTCGTTGATAATTTATCATGAGCAGCGCTTTAGTGGTTCAGTATCACAAGTCACAACACCACAGCGACAATTATTATTGTTCGTTGCGTACTCGAATGCACGTAGTAAATCACACGCTTGTTGTACTAATATTTTCTCTAATTTATAACTATTATTATAATGATTTGTTTTCCGAACACTTTAGGTTCATTCGGTTGCCCCGGTTTTGCGAATGAGTTGATAATTATTATTGTTTATGATATTAATTCGTAATTTTTTTGAATTCTCTGAAATACAAATGAAATACAAATGAAATATCAGGAAATCCAGTTGGGTACAAAAAAAAGTAATAATAATAATAAATAAAAAGAGCAAAATGTTTCATGAAACGAATAATTCCAGGTTAAATGGTCGCTATTGAAATGCAAAATATAACAACAAATCATAAGAGGAATGAAAGGGGGACCAAGGGTAAACAATTCGTTGAAGTTAAATAGAATTTTTTTACCCCCGTTCTTTCTGCTTTCCGTCGCCTTTGAAAACGATTTTTAACGAGCGTTTCGCCTATTTGTGCGCGCACTCTCTTTTCTTTCGGTGCTTTCCTCGGTAGTATTTTAAAACACTATATATAGGCGTAAAGTTGTATGATAAATTTAATGCACATTTGTCAAGATAGTGTGTACCACCACCACGGCATTATAATATGCTTTAGTTGGTAATATTTTCTGTCTCGACTAATGAAATAACAATGAAGTGCACACGTTTTAAAAATTTATAATTTTCAACATCACGCGGGACGGTATCAACTTTTACGGGTAAACACACTTACGAAATTCAAACTTCTAGGCTTTATATAATATATATATGTTTTTTTTTTGTTTTTACCGAAGATGGAGTTTTTATGTCTGCTAAGTTTAAAAACAACGTGTTTATAATACAACCTTAACTAAAAGTATCGATCAGACTCCCCAGTCAGTTCATTAGAAATTGGTATCCCTTGATTATTTCCCATTAAAATCGAGTTCGTTCTCCGTGCGTCCCAAATAAACTCGTTTGCGGGCAGTTTGACATTTCTGATTAAGTATTGGTAAATGTTTAATTAACTAATAGGATCTATCATTGTTGCTTCTGGAAACCCCTGCTTGTAATTTTATTCGAACCACGGGGATGGTTGATTAAATATTACTTATTACATGTAGGGTTATTCGAATCAAATGTATGTTCTACACGGAAGAAAAATATATAGCATTGCGATCATTGTTTTTTATACTTTTTTTACCGCAGTTATTTATTTTTGTTTCTTCAAAATGTTACGGTTTCCATGCCCGTATTAAACAACGACTGTATAGAACCTATACGTACTACATAAAAAATATAATAGATTAGCCTGCAGTTATCATCTCTTACATCGATTTCGTTCAAATTTCGAGTAGCAACGTAACAGTTGTGAAACGCGATGCTAATTAAAATACTTTTTTGTGCATATTATAGTTACTGATTTTAAACAATGTCAATTAATAATATATTATTTTTTTGTCTACTACCTAACCTATGCACTGACTTCATAAAATAACCTCCTATTTAATATGACAATTACCAAATTGTATTATGTAACTATACATCATTATATATTATCATGTATATAATATTATAGGTACCTACTGATATTTATTATTTTCATTTTAAGTTATTTTGGTTTTAGAAAAAAATAATAAATATAGAATGCATTAATATTGTTATATTTATCCAAGGTTCCAAATATTAAATATATAAAAATATGCGTTTTCTGATTTTTTTTTTCTAAAACCTAAACTCATTATAGACTTTTTAATATCGTGCTATTTTCACTAGCCATCTTTAAAAGTTAAAATAAAATTCCGTATACCTTAAGAATACATGACTTCAACTAATAAATAGTAAATTCGATGAATATTTAATTCAGGTACTTTTTATTTTCAAATTAATGATAACATATTAGCAACAAAAAAAAGCAACTCAACTTAGTAACATTTAAAATGTAGCTCAGTCAACACCTAATTAAATCTTTTGCGCTTTGCCAAACTACTATTCATAAAAAATACAATAACGGTGGTTTGCATATTATATTTATTTATTTTTACAATGTTAAAACTTTCGTATATATGGCTAGTATTTTCGGAATTGAAAACCACAGAATTTTCTCCGACTGAGTTCTTCAGGACCTTACCTTATAAGACACGCCTAGCTAATGATATTAGCACTCGATTCGTCTACTCTGGACACATACCTACACGTGTATGATGGCTACGAATTTATACCTAGTTGTTTGTCAACCACGTGGTTCTTTGCTTGTTGTAAATAATATTTTACCGACGAGTTAACGCGATTTAGTATTCTGAACTACCGGCAAAGTTTCATCATTCTAGTAAAATAATACTCGGCTGATTAACAATGTAATGCCCGCCGTTGACAGAGTGGCACGTATTGAACGGTTTTCCGGACTGTGCGCAGTATTTATTAACACGACTATAGATATTCTCGAACCACTGTCGAACCATAATATAAATGTGTGTATATGTGACCGGTGCGGATGCTGAACAATTTTTCAGGTAATTTATGGATAGTCGAAAAGCTGAAAAGGGATCATTAGGTGCAATTAAGGTTTTTTTTTCTGAATACCTAATAATACATTTTACATTTGCAACATTTCCAATGTGCACAAATATATTATTATTATGTTCGCTTCTATCGTTATTGGCTGTAAATCAATCGCTACGGTTCTGTCGTTAGTTCGAGTATATTATATATAATGGTTTATATTTTGTGGTAAAACTAAGTGGGATAATGGATGGAAATACAAAAACGGCTGATTGTTAATTACGATTTACCGAGACTATTGTATAATATTATGTAATAATAACGCTGTTATACTTAATTATGCTGTTGACGTTGTCCTCATCGGTTCAACTAGGAGAGGAGGAGGAGCATTAATGGGACATAGGTTTCATACCAAGTATGAAATAACTATTATGTAAGTTACTCTGAAAATCTAGACATCGGTATATTACATTTTTTAATTATGAATTTGTTGGTCACATGTTCACAGTATTTCACAAATAAGATTTATGCTCTTTAATAATCTGTTCATTAAATATCTAATTTATAAGAAATTATGTTACTGTTTAAAAGCAAATACACTTTACTCTCTGGAAATAATACATAATATTGTGATATTAACTATAATAATTCAGAAGAGTATAGATTCTTAAACTATTTTTGTCATGAACAGTTTTTAAAATATAAATAAATGCAACATCTAAATTTTAATTAATAAAGAACTATACTATACTAAATTATCTTGGTTTTGTATTTATGCGTTAAATTAATATATATTTTATACAGTTATTGCTTTATGACTCAGCCTGCTTAACAACATTGCAGTACACTCACACCAAGTCACTTAAACCAAACTTATTAATAATTGTCCATATAAGGGTTCGAGGCCTAAAAATTATGTTTAATCACTTGATATTAATTTTACACTTCAGTTAACTGACGTTGTCCCCGGCCGAAAATCGGTTATGAGATACCCGAAAAATATATTCATGGCTGCGGTGCTGCTAAATTGCCTATCCAAGGTGCCGTGCAATCGTGATTTTATTACTAAAATAATGAAACGTTTATAAAATAATTATACCTAATGATAATTTTGAGATCAAATGGCCGAAATTAAAAAACGAGAAAGCTCTCACTTAGTACATTTTAGGTTTTTATCGCTTTATCGGTTGCACACATATAGAGCCAAAAATATTATAACACCCCTCTCAAACGATACACAAACGGTATACAACGATATCTTTGCTCACTTTCTCTTACAGTAATATAATACTAGGTAAGTAGGTACTTGTA